TTCTCCTCTGAAATGATATTAAATATGTAGTTTGTTTTCGTTCTCTATCCTCGGCTGTACAAGGTAAACATAAAGTTTGTTTTCGCTCCCCATCCTCGGCTGTCTGACAGGCGCGAGCTCGGCGACGCCACGCGCTGGCTCGGGCGGCGACACCAGACAAGAGCGGCAGGCCCGCGCCAGCACCCAAACGCTCGCGCTCACGCACACGCAGGCGCTCGCGAACACGAGCACGTACTCCAAGACCACGGGGACGCACGGCAGAGCAGGCTCCTCGGTGCTGGTGGTGCTGCTGCTGCTACTGGTGGGGCTGCTGGTGGTAGTAGTGCTGGTATCGTCGGCCGTGGTGGTGCTGGTGTCGTTGGTGGTGGTGCTGGTGGTTGTGGTCGTGGTCGTGGTGCTGGTGGCCGCGCTGCTCCGGTTGCCGGCCCGCTGCACGGACTCACAAAGGCACTTGCGGTAGTCCAGATTGCATCTGTCCACACACGACTGGAAAAATCCGCAAAGAAAGCCCGTACACCCCATCCGTGTGCTCCAGCATTGCATCTCCTCCTCGATCGCGGTCCTCAGGTTGTCGTCCATCAGGCTGCCAGGCGGGTACCCGGCGCAGCCACACCGGCAGTTCCGCTCGCACATGTTCGCGCAGTCCGCGTCGCCCGCGACGCACTCGCTGCACGTCGCATTCCCGCACTGCAACACGGACAAGGGTCAGTCAGCAGGCAGGGTAGGATAGGGTTTCGCCCTCTGCCTTCCTCGCGGGGAATAGAGACTCACCTGGCGTTCCTCCTCGCACTCGTCCAGCCTCTGCGTCTCCTCGGTGGCCGAACGCCGGCTCCTGTGGTGGGCGCGGCTGCCGGACGGCTGGTCGGCGCTGACGGCGTTCTCGGCCGAGCACGGCCCGGGGTGCTCCAGGGAGAGGCCTGCGAAAGAACGTTGAATCATTGCGGGCCAGCCGTCTCTGGCTGGACTACGTACCCCGAGGAGGTGGTTGTGGACTCACCGGGCACGGCGGCGCACTGCAGCAGGTGGCACAGGCTGGCGTACGTCACGAGGTCCGAGCCGCACACCTCGGAGTCGGCGGGCGCGGGCGGGCACGGGCAGGCGGCCGCGGCGAGCAGCAGGGCGGCGACGAGCACCGCGTTCAGCAGCATGGTCAGCGTCCTCGTATCTTCGTGGGCTAGGACTACTATAGTCTGTCCTTCGCTACAGACAGAGGTCACTGACGAGGTTGGAAGATCTCAAGCTCCTGCTGCAGGACACCTTCGTTCGCACTCTGCTACTTACACACTTAGACTGACAGACGCACAGTCCAGCTCCAGCTGATGAGACGAGACTAGCCGCAGAGGAGCACAGGAGTCATACCAGGGGAGTCCCTGGCAGGGACCCCCCACCCTTCCCCTCCCCTGGTTGCTGGCCGGTGGTTTTGCGCTAGCGGCCTGCCGGGGTTCCCTGGTTAAGGAAAACCCCAACAATCTGGGGCGTATCCGATGCGCACGGCGGTGGGCCCGCCGGAGCCGCCAGGGCAAACAAATTTTCACGTCACACATCCGTGTTAAACACTTGAAGGTGTTTAACCGGGAGTTGCTCGCTTAAAAGGGTTGCCCACTCTTTCCTAGTGTGACGACGTGATGGCAGACTGGCTTTCTCCCACGCCAACCTCAGCTTAAACCTGAATGTCGCTTTATCAGGGACGGTCACGGTATTTTGAACACAATCCGATGGTATCCGTGAGGTTTCGATCACAACCTTATAAGTGCACCGGAGTAGGGGTTGTCCCCTCATTTGTGAGTTGCTCGAAAGTAGGCAGGCAACGTGCGCCTGTTTATTGGGAACCCGCGCGGCATCGACTCGCCTGTCAGGTCGGTATGTATTAACAACACTGCTTCTCTAAAGTCACCCCCCTACCGTTTAAACGCAATGAAAAATGAAGATGAAAAATTGATTTCTTTTTAATTCTCACAAGGAAGAGATGGTATTGGGTGTTGGGTATGTTTGGAATATAATTTTACACCATGAAATGCGTAGTTTCGTTCATCATGTAGTTTAATGATATGGTCTTACCTTAAATATATTTTTATTTTAAAATGATATACAAATAATATTTTTCCATTTTTCCATCCGCGTGGCTGTCAAGTAGGACTCTGGGTCGACGCCGGCCTGGCGTTCGGGTTGCAACGCTGCAAAGTGCACCGAGTGCGCGCGCGCGTGAGGGGCACTCGGGCAACGCGGCTCGCCGCAGGGCTACCTCCAACAATTGGTCAATTCGAAAGAGTTTTAATAATCGTCTAGGGCGTCTTGGGTGGCGCCCGTGTTGGTGGTGGTGGTGTTCTGGTTGTGGGCCTGCAAGCACTCGCAGCGGCACCTCCGCAGGTCGAGCTCGCACGCCCCACGACACTGCGACCAACCCCCTCGCTCTCGTTCGCAGAATGTCTTACACCCCCCCGGGCACCGCATCTCGTAGCACTTCTTCCACTGGCCGATATTCAGGCCGCCTCGCGCCGGCGGGAATCCGGCGCAGCCGCAGTCGCAGTTCCATTCGCACATGACCGCGCACCAGTAGTCATCCGGGCCGCACTCGCTGCAGCTCACCCGGTGGCACTGCAACACCAACACATTTGGTCAGCGGAGAGGAGGGTGTCGGCCTGCCCCGGGGTACGGAACAAAGACTCACTTGGCGTTCGTGTTCAGAGCATGAATCCCACTTCCGCAGGGTGTCGTTAGCCGTGCGGCGTTGGTTGGCGCGCCCGCCGGCCAGCTGGTCGGCGCTGACGGTGTCCTCGGGTGAGCACGGCCCGAGGTGCTTCAGGGAGAGGCCTGGCGGTAGAAACGCTCGTTCATGGCGGGGAAGTCATCTCAATACTTACCTTGAGGTGGTTGTGGACTCACCGGGCACGGCGACGCACTGCAGCAGGTGGCACTGGCTGGGGTACGTCACGAGGTCCGAGCCGCACACCTCGGCGGCGGCGGGCGCGGGCGGGCACGGGCAGGCGGCCGCGGCGAGCAGCAGTGCGGCGGCGAGCACCGCGTTGAGCAGCATGGTCAGCGTCCTGGTATCTTCGTGGGCTATGAGCTGCACAGAGAGCTGGCTAAGGCTGCACCCACCTGGGTCCAGAGCGCGACTGTCGGGTCGGTGCTCGCGGGTCGACCGACTCGCCACGACTGTTCTGTTGTTGTCCAGCGACTGCGACGCTCTGATAAGGCTGCGGCTGCCCCTCTAATCGAGTTATCTCCTCGCGTTAAGGAAGTTAGGCGGATCGGCTTGGCGAGGTCGGCCAGAGGGCGCTGTATTTCGGCTGAGCGATGGCGAAGCCTAGCATTTACTGCATACATATGTGTTCGGTCGCGGGCATCGGACTATCGAATAGCCCCTCGAATAGCGTTGATCACTATCGAATCACTGTACGACATAGGTTCTTGCCTTGCATCCCCCGTGTGGGTGTCAGGCGCGTGTCTGCGGGAGAGAGGGGGCACCCACCCTCTCTCACGCGAGTGACGAAGAGATGGTATTGGGTATGTTTGGAATATAATTTTACACCATGAAATGCGTAGTTTCGTTCATCATGTAGTTTAATGATATGGTTTTACCTTAAATATATTTTTAA